TGGTTACGTGTGAAATTCTGCCAAACATAAACAATAACTTGGACAATCTCCTCTCTTATAGTAAAGGCAGATGCTATTTTATTATTATATACTAATTAAATAAAATATATTCTATACGAAGAAAAGTAATCCCCTCTCCTCACACACGTAAACATGTATGTATGTAAATGTGTATGTACACATCTATATAATTTTCACCCTCTATTAACATTTTTTTTTGCATCCAGTGCAATTTCATTTTCTTCTACAGTGAATGAAAAATGGAGTGAAATAGTGATTTGAAATTGTTGAAGTTGGCTATGAATGATGATAGTTGATTCCTCACCAGCTTCGAAACGGTGAAAATTCTTGACCTTCAACCTCATGAACCATGAATATGTAAACATAGATATATTTTCATGCATGTACAGAAACGAGAACATAACTTATATGGAGCTAAAGGAAGACGAACCCAGCTAGATTTTCATCTACAAACAAAGGAAAACTACGTACCTTAAATAAATAGTAAGAAAATAAAAAAAGAAATACACAAAAAAGAAAAATTATAAGAAGAACATACCCAAAATAATTGTTGCAACTTCTAGAATTTTCTTCTCCACTATTGATGACGAGAAAATACGAATTAGGCTAAAGGCAAAAGCGAATAATGGTAGAAGGACGACCTTTTTTTTTCAGAGAAAACAAGATTTTGGGGAGAATTCGTTCTGCAAAACAATGGGTAGAATTTAGAAAGAGAAAGATTGAATTGATAGAAGAGTATTGTGCGAAATTTATGTGGTAAGAAAAAAAAATAAACAGCACACTACATTTTACTTCAAATGTGGGTCCCATTCATTAATGTTTCGACAACTATATTTTTTAATTCCCATATCTCCCTTAACATTAATATAGGTATGGAAATTAGTGTGTAGTTAGAAAGTGAAGGGTAATTGTGCCAAATTGTTTATTAAATAGAGGGTATAATGTTACTTTTGATATCTCAATTATGTGGGAAAAAGGACAATCATCTAATAACTTTGCTATATACCTCGGGAATGCACGTTTTCAGATTTCAAGAAGTCAACAAAATCAACTACACTTCAATAAGTCAAAAAAATCAACTACATTAATTATTCCTCACGAGAGGAGGTGGATGTGAGACAATACAAAAGCAAGACGACGCAGACTATGCGGTCTCAAAAAGAAAACGTGACTCATTTTGGGGACCAACCAACTGTAGCAAAACCAGATATGTAAATCGAGCAAGTGTGAAAATCAGTGTGACATGAATGAATAGTAAAGAAAGCCTCTCTTTTAAGAGAGTAAAGATATATATATATATATATACACACACTCAGGGGGGAGGGGGCGAAACATAACTTGTAGTTTTCAACAAATATTGCAGTGTACAAAATACAACTATACAAGCAACAAACCGTCATTTCTAACAAAGTTACGTTTTATGTTTTTAAGATGACTTTATTAAATAAATCACCTGAAACCATAGAAGCAAGGAATTATCTTAAACTCATTTGGGACTCCAACAGATGAAAAAATGACCTTTTTTTATTTTTTATTTTTTTAATCAGGTGAATGGTAAAAATGTTGTGCAACTTGTGGATGCGGACAACTCAATCCTTTCTCTCAGGAAATAACAAAAATAATTTAACGGAAGTTTATGCCAAGCCATGAGCCATTCGACCAAATGAACACATTGACAGAAGAGCACGAGGAACCGATCTACATGTAGCTCAAACAAATACAATCAGAATTTGTTTTAGAATACATAGAAGCGGAAGTCTAGTCAAGTACCCTTATCTTGATCAAACTTCATAATAAATTTGTTCACAAATGATGTCTGCAACCTTAACATCCAGCTCACCATCGACACAAAATGTGAAGTAAAATTAAAATAGGAGTCTCTGGTGCGTGGAACAGTGTCTTTAGGCTATTGGGTCCGTAGTCTGCTATTCTCTGCAGCCCTCACTTGCAAGAAATATGGGTGGGCCTAGAGAAAAAACAAAGGTACTCTGTATTAGTTTGAGAGATCATCCTTCTGAAGGCAGTGATGATAGTAACAAAAATGAGCAAATAGATAATAAGGCTGCAAAAACTACCATGGCTTCTTTTGCTGTGAGTCTGTCCTGATGATCATACCGAAGGAGCTTGTCGAGAAAATCTATCGCCTGTAAGTAACAAAAGAAGAGACGATTAAACTCATTGAAATGTTTGCAAATATTAATAACCAAAAATAAGCCAGCTTCTGTTTTTCTTTTGTGAAATAAAAAGAAATGACCTCTGGAGATACTAGATGCTGATTATCCGTATTGACAAATTTTGTCCAGGGTTTCCTGCTGTGTCTGTAAAACAAAAGATGAGTCAGCTTCATATCAATGCACCTTAAGACAATGAGATCTAAATAGTCTTAAGCTCGTATATATAGTCAGAATTTGTTGCATGAAGCAAACCTCCCGACTAGAGCTTCAAGCTGAGGATCAAGTTCCAACTGATACTTGTGCAAATATGCATTCAACTCATCTGTCCCAAGCACCTGGTTGAGGAATTTGATATCAGATACAAATACATCAGCTTTTCTGAGAGCAGGCACAGCTCAGTGTTATTATGAACTTCATTATAAATTTCTAAACGAACTAAAATTTTTAAATGTAAATATTTAGAGCAGAAGTCTGATGTGTCGGGGATTTTACACACCAATAAAGTAACACCAAATAAATTCAGATCCTAAGCAACACATGTAGACCAGTTGGATTAACAAAAATGCAAAAATAATGTGAGTGTCTTTATTGATCTAAATACATTATGATGTTAAGAACCATAAATCTTCAACTCTGTAGTCTCTCAGATAACAGAACTGGAAGATAGGGTTGAACTGTTTTGGTGAAGGCCAAAGACTATATTACCTTGGCAATCTTCACAAGTTGATCCTGGTTGTCATGCCCATAAAAGAAAGGTTCCTTGCGAAAAATCTATATTAAGATTAGCAAGCATGGTGAGCACGTGAAGGAGAAAAACGTAAATCATTGGGCACCACAACGGCCCTTCATCTCAGTTTAAAATTAATACCATTTTGTTAACCTACTTCTTGCAACCCTTCCCTTCCACCGGGGGTTGGGGGGGGGGGGGGGGAAAAAAACAAGAAAAACATCCCATTTTTCGTAGTAAAAATTAAATAAGTAAAAAAATTATGTGTAATTTATTAATACTTTTACGTATTAGTCCGACTTAAAAAAAAAACTGAATGGATACAGTTTTTCAGTGTCGAAATTCTCACCATTCCAGCAAACATGCAACCAAGGCTCCACAAATCTAATGAATAGTCATAGTCTTGGAGGTCAACAAGAAGTTCTGGACCCTTGAAATATCTGTCAGGGAGAAAATTTCAGCTCTTTTAAGGAAAACTAAACTAGCAGCTTAGATTATGAAACCCAACAAAAAAAGAGCAAAAAATACAGCCAAAAAGAAAAAGAAACAAAAAAACATATTTATCATTTCAAAAATCATCAACCAGGCACACACTGAACATTAACAAGAGAAAATACAGAAGTATAAGCTTTAGGACGACATTTATCTCTATCGTGTGAATGCATGGCAAGTTCGAGATTAAATCTTATTCCATGGTATTTACATGAGGTTCCACCTTAAGACCCAAAAGTGCTTAGTTGATCCATGATTTCCTTTTTGTTTGTTTCAAGAAATCTATCGATTAATTTTGATTCTTTCTTTTCTTTCTCTCTTGATTCTTTCTTGATCGAGTGCATAGATCCTATAATACATCTTTTCTTGGATGCTCGAAATGTGGAAAAGCTCTATTTACCCCTGCCATTATGAGTTTTTTCCTTTTTGCATATTGCATCGCCACTCCCTTTGGCATCAGTCCGTAGAAACCCTCCACTTCAATTGGTATTTTTTCACGAAAAGCAGACTTGACATAAGAAATCCAGTGTTTCACTAAGATTTCGAATAGAGGTTCCGAATTCAAGTTGATTCTATTTCGCCTCTTCCTCATAAGACTTGGTTTGTTATCTTATATGACTAAGTTTCTTGAGAGTGAGGCCAATCTTTAATTATGTAGATGTGATATTGACCTGAGGCATTTTAGCAGGGTCCATATATGATATTGATAGGATCCTTGATTGTTGCTGCCAAACTGAAAGTTGCAGATTGAAACTCTTTGACTACCGAAGGCTGGGCAGCTGCTTGAAGAGCACTAAAGCTATATTTTGTAAAGTATTTTTTGTGTATTATATTTGGGAAATGTAAAACAATTGTATATGAATGGATTAAATGAAAACAGAATTGAAATGATAATTTCCAGGCTATTCGAGATGCCTTGATTCTATCCACTCTTTTCTCAACTAATCACTTCCATGAATTCCCCAGCTCCCCCTATTACATTTATAGATATTCTACTATATTTCTATTCCCTCTTTTACCCTGGAACAATCCGGAATCTCGAATAAACTACTTGTGTGAGTGAATCTTATTGGAGGTAGTAATCTATCATTACTCGCCGCCCAAAATCCACCTTGTCCTCAAGGTGGAAGTTGTGATTTGCTCACTTCATCATACACCCACACCATTTCCTTTGCAATGCCCATCATGCCCCGAGCAGAAAAGGGATATGTCAATCCAAAAAAGTTAGTAGACCCATTAACTACGAGGAGTATCTTATCCATTAAAATCCTATAACCGGTTACACCACATCTTGGGTTCTCCAAAGATGGAACCCAGCCTATCGAAACATCATGGTGGGTAATACCATAATTGATTATCACCGCGACCTCCACCTCTTGTGTAATCTGCCCTTTTTTGGTTTTTTGCGCAATAAATCCAACCACCAAATCAATTAAAACTCCCAGTTTATCATCAACATAATTCATGGATATATTTGTGTAAATTGGATTGCTCATAGTTGGGCTGGACAAAGCTGGGTTACATCTAAATTGAAGGTGGCTTCGGATGAGGTCGCTATATGTCCTTTCTCCTTCCATTCCCATCCTTGTCCTTCTCGTTCCGGCACCTTCATCTCGCTTTTCTCCATCTCAAGCGACCAGCTCGATGAAAACTCACCCCTAATCCATGTGAGTCGAAAAAAAGGTTCGAATGGTACGATCCATCCGTCACCCCAGAATGAAAGGGGTGATCTCGTAGCACGGGACAAAGATAGCACCACTTAGAACCTCCAAATCCCATCGGTATTTGCCAATAAATTCGTCCTCCTGAGATGGTCGGAATTCATCTCTGTCTTTAAAAATAGCCGGCTCTGGTGAGTTCTCTGCGATCTATTTTTCCTCTCTCCCTTTCCGGCTCAGCCATGGATTTCTTCTCCTAGTTCGGCTAATTTACAGTGACCCGTCTCACCTCTTACCTCTTTTCCTCCTCCAGCAATGGCGATGGCGATGGCGATGTCTACCCCTGCAATTGAAAATGCTATTCAATAATCGCTGTTTCCAAGTTTACCACTCTCCTACGCTTTCCTATAGGCCCTTCTTCACGCGAGAGCTTTATCATGCAGAATCAAGCCAACATCAATCCCTTCAATTCTTCCCAGGTCTGAATCGGACAGCGATCGTCTATCTTTTGAAACCATGCCCAAGCCTCTCCAAGGAAGCAAGCGGCTGCGGCTTCTACCTTTCCCTCTCCGATAAGCCATGACTCATATTTATGTATCGCTCTACCTCAAACAGCCACAACTCTAAATTATCACCATAGAATATTGATGTGTTGAGTCGGCCACATGAATCCAACCCTGAATCAATAGCTCGATCTCCTTTCTGTTGCATCATCAAGCGGTCAAATCGACTCATTAATGAGCTCCATTTTTCCTCCCATTCCTTGTTGAATTTTCTTTCCATTTGCCACAGAATCGGTGCTTTGATACCAATTTGATAGGATCCTTGATTGTTGCTGCCAAACTGAAAGTTGCAGATTGAAACTCTTTGACTACCGAAGGTTGGGCAGCTACTTGAAGAGCACTGAAGCTATATTGTGTAAAGTATTTTTTGTGTATTGAATTGGGAAATGTACAAAACAATTGTATATGAATGGATGAAATGAAAACAGAATTGAAATGATAATTTCCAGGCTATTCGAGGTGCCTTGGTTCTCTCCACTATTTTCTCAACTAATCACTTCCGTGAATTCCCCAGCTCCTCCCTATTACATTTATAGATATTCTACTATATTTCTATTCCCTCTTTTACCCTTTTGCTAACTAACTAGTGGAACACTCCGGAATCTCGAATGAACTACTTGTGTGAGTTAATCTTATTGGAGGTGGTAGTCTATCAGATACCATTTAGAAGCAAGTGCTTTTGGATAATATTTTCGTGTCCACCAAACTATGATAGATAAGCCACATAATTTCTATTATAGATTTGAAGTCCAGATTTAAAACTAAAATCATAAGGTAGAAGCATGACATTAATGCAAATACATCACCTCAAAGTTAACAAAACCCCCCATAAGAGTGTTAAAACTTGAGGTTCCATTTTCATCTTTACCCGATTTGAGATTTTATCCATTAACATGTCCCCACAAGATGGTCGCTCATTTAAGCAAACCAATCTTGAGATTTGTATGCTCATTTTTTGAGTTTTAATTGAATCGAATTGCTCGTTGAAATTTAATGAGTTCCCATACTATGTTAAGATTTAGGGTTTCATTTTAAAAAGTTAACCTTGTTAAGAGGAGTAACTCAAACCCTTATAAGGTAATCTACAATTTCATCTTTATTCAATACGAGATTTTATCCCTTAAAAAAGAGAACATATCGGGGAAAGAAAGATCATTGTAGAGTTGTAGACAGGTTTTCATTTTAGTTCAAGAGTTACCTTGTGGTAGTGAGAAACCAAACAAACAAAAGAGGGATACAAGTTTCCAATAGGATAACAACCCCTCCCCCCCCTCCAATAGGAGGGCGCCAAATAGAAATCTAGGGCCCACGTGGCCCTGGATGAGGGGATTATTCCATAAATAATATGGATTCGTGTGTGCTGTGTACAGACACAATCAATCACAAATACAGACACACTCAATCAATCGCAAAGTAAAATCACCTAATCATGAACACATGAATGGCAAATGCAGTATTCATTTCTAGTTTATCAATTTTTAAATGTAAATTTTTCAGTACCGGTGCCTATGCATTTAAATATTTTTATGGTGATAATACAGTTTTGATTCCAAATTCTTTTATCATCACAAATTATAACCTATCATTTTTCTTTCAGAGATTTCAACTACAAAGATATTTGCCATTTCCTTAATGCAATCAACTGTTGAAGTGAGAATAGAAACCCTATTCACTTGTCATGATTTTCTTGAAGGTTACTGAGATAAACATGCTTTACAGCCTTTTAATTTGACGGTACATATGAAATCAAATTGACAATGCATCACAAGTTATCAGGTTACACAAGAAAATAAAAAGAAATAACTGTAGAGGCTCTATTAAAGAACCTAAAATGAAAGCATAGAGAATACAAATATTTCCAAAATGATTTCACCAGTTCATATCCTGTTGAAGATAGTACCTTGAAGCAACACGAACATTATACTCCTTGCCAGGGTGATAAAATTCTGCAAGACCCCAGTCTATCAAGCGAAGCTTTCGTAACTCGTGGTCAATCATAACATTATGAGGCTTGACATCTCTGTGCATCATTCCTTGTGAGTGACAGTAATCTAATGCCTGGAACAGGATAAAGCGAAATTCGGCTTTCTTTTATCATGCAAATGCACAAATGTAAATGAATTGGCCAATCTTGAACAGATTCGAGATAACTCAATTCTTATTCAGGTTTATATTTGATAATAAACGAAATTATTATATAAACTAGGAGCTCATCACAAAGTCCTTCATAGGGATCACAAATGTTGGGAGCCAGCACAATTACTTCTTTCCAAACTTGAACCTACTCAAGTATGTGAAGGATTCCACAATCAGATTTACAAAATTTGTGTATTTATAAAGCAATTTGTAATTGTATAAACAGAGGTATGGCTGTATTATTTAACGAAAATGTGTTGTAAAAAACAAAGTGGAATGACTGAATGAAATTGAAGTTGAGTACTGATAGAAGTTGCAATTAAATAAATAATGTTAAGCTTTCCAGAGGCTCAACTCTCTCACAGTTTCAAACCTGCTGAACTGATCACACTTCCTAACCCCTTATTTATGATGCCTATAGAATTTATTCTACTGAACCCTCATAATTCCCTCAATACAAATGACAATTGGACCTATTGGACTGGTAAGATCATTGGTTCGCTGTCTATGCACCCCCAGCATCACCTGTATCCACCGGATCGACATTTGTTCAACCCCATCAACATTTATTTTTCTAGCTTTTTTGCCTTGCCTTGCATATGTGGTGCGAGTCGTCTATCAGTATGCTTTCTCTCAAACTCCATTAGGTATGCTGCAGAGTTTTAATCTCATATCTCAAAACCCCCATTTATTTTTGTGAATGCCCAGCGGTTTTTGAAAATACGTAAATAAATAATATCCCTCCATCATGGACGATATTCATGAAAACCTTTTGTCCTTTTCAATTTTACTTCTCAAGTATGAAAGTAGCTGAACATTGCCCTATAATTTGAAGAGTAATGCTATTTATCTAGACTCATGATCCTCATCAATCTAGATGACATATGAGTGTCATTCATTCATATGCCATCATAAATGGGACCCATATCCCTATATTTAAGATGACATGTCAATAAATGTCAGATAGAGTGATGATGGTCACCAGTCTAGATATTCTAACCTGTATTCATATATTTGATTCTACGATAAACAGAAACTCATTTAAAGACTGCATCCCACAGAGCAAGAATTTAATATATGTCCCCATGAGATAGAGAAGTTTGACTAAGCATGGCTATCAGATTGAATTATGTTTCCACTGACCTTGAGAAGCTCATATATGTAGTAACGTATGTCATAGTCCGTCAATGTAGGATACAGAATTTTGAAATCTGTACTGTTCACATATTCAAATATCAAGCTGGGAGTTTTCGAGTGCTGATCTCTAACGATATCAAGGAGCTTGACAATATTGGGACCCCCACAAAGGTTCTGCAGTATTTTGATCTCTCTCTTTATCTGAACAGGATGACCAATAATAAAATAAGAAAATCTGCTCACAATTAGACAATTCAAGTTTGGAACTTAGGAAGCAGCGTGCATGAGCACTAAAGCAATAGTACATCCAAGTGGACATCTATTAAATTATTATGTTAGATTTTCAGCATCTATTGTTTATCATCAATAGCCTTTAATTGTTGCAGACAATTGTCTAAGCAGTCCATGCAGAAAAATGCTTAACAGGCATCCCACTGCTTTAATAGCCTTATAAGTTGTTGAAACGGCCAGCATTGATCTAAAAAGATAAAGGAACCTTTATCATTTTAGGAACCAATATTCAAATTTTAACTGACTATTATAAAAAAGTACTGTCCATAAATAGCTACATTTGAGGATAGTCCCAGTCTGTTGAGGACTGATATTAAAAATTTATTACCTTTTTCTTCTTGACAGGTTTTAGAATCTTGATTATGCACTTCTCATTGCTGTTCACATTTATACCTTCAAAAACTTCACTGTATTTTCCCCTTCCAACTTTTCGGACAATCTCATAATCGTCTTGGTCTCTGAAAAAATAGGTCAAAGAAAGTCTTCTTGAGATTTAATAAACCCCAGCTCAAACCAGGCATGCAATACAATCAAGCTTGCTAATGTAGACACCAAATCATTTAACTAAAGCAAATTTCTAATATAGAAAAAGCTGTAGACTGTTGTTAAATATTTATAATTCACATCCTGCTATAGCTTATTTACCGCTTGAAGGCTAATTCTAATGATGTTTTCATTGTTCTCCAACCTCTTTTACCACTTAGAGAAACGTGAAATATAAATAATTGGGAAATGAAAGTGCTATAAGTTAATTGTGTTTACATTTAGACAACAAGAGATAAGAGGCCGATTATAAATTTATAATATGGAACTGACATGAATTACAGCATATAAAAGGTTTTATACAATCGCACCATCATTTTCATTTTGATTCACAATTGTTTCCACACTCCTTTTCTTCTAGGACTTCTCTTTTCACTCATATATTAATAAAATAACTGCCATGAATAAATATAAGATTTCTATGCATAGCTTCAATGATTCAGAGAAGTATTAATTTTGAACATGTAAAAAAGAGACCCAAATAACAAAAAAAATTATCAAAATAGCAAACCATAAATTGTCCGTGAATTCACGATTATAAATCTTTCAATTGTTGCTAAAATCTAAATCCGGATAAAATCAGTCTTTCTAAACAAGCTCCAGTTACCAATTTTTTGAGAAACAAATAATTTAATATCGCAAAACTAAACATTTCTCGTCCTAAATTATAAATAAATAAAATTTAACACAATCGCAATCAACCTAGTAATTGACAGTAATGAAGATTGCTCACCCCCACTGGACAGTGAGATTTTCGTAATCCCAATATTCTCTGGGACGCAATACATTCACATCAGGGTAGACTCGGGCTTTCGACATTCCTGAGCCGTAGATCTCCGACGTCACGGTGCCGTTGATCTTATTAATGTGTACAGATGCAGACGGGAAGCACAGGTTAGGAGGATGAGCAACCGGCGCTCGCAGAGCGACGATGGCGCACACCAGCGAGATACGGAGTAACAGCGCGGGATCGTGCGCCAGGGGAATTCTTCACTACCAAGTACCAAGCCAGTAATACTATTATTAAGATTATTTGAATTGTATTAACACAACTTTATTGGAATTTATTCTATTCTTGGAACAGATGTCTGGCTGTCAACTGTCAACAGAACGTCTTATAATTATGTATGGTCGTTGGCAAGTGGGTATATACAATTTTTGCTTATTCAATTTTATTTTTAGTTCCTAAATGTTTGTTCATATTTAACTCTAGATTCTCGAACAATAAAAGAATGCTCATAAGTCCCTGTTTGACTCTCATTTTCTAAAATTTATTTTTATTTTCTCAATTTTATTTCTAATCAAACATTTTATGAACGCACAATTTTTATCAACATTTCAATTATTTATTTTTATTAAAATCTACTTGAAAAATGGTTTTTATCTAAACCAAACAGGTCTCAAGGAGGTCGATCTCATTATGTGCATGTTTGATTTTGATTTTTCACCTCAAAAAAATTAATTTTTTTATCGTTATTTTTCTAAGTCAATCGTCATTTTTGACTTATTCTTTCACATATATTATAAAGTATCACACAATCAAGATGCGTGCAGTAATTTAATTATTAGCTGACGATGGTTGACTGGATAAATTGACGAATTGAATAGGATTTGATGCAATTAATTATTAAAACATTTAAATTGATGCACTGAAAATCCTAGTTTGAAAATATAGGTAGAAAGAGAATATGTATACACCACATTCTGTGCTTAGAAATTGACCTCTAATATTATACAAGCATATATGTCTACAACTTCAGACTGTTGAATTATATAACCTAGAGTCAACATAAAGATATTCTGTACATTGCCCTCTTATCATACAGAAATGGAACATTTTAACCAAAAAGAATACAATAAATCTTAGGCAGGTCAATGATCAACCTCTCGTATATTAAGTTCTTCATACGGCCTTAGGCTGGATCTGCTCGAAGTCAAAAACCTCAAACGTGAGGCGTCTTACATCTGGCTTCCCGTATACAGCATATGCGAGCCCATGAATGGCTTGTTGAACAGAGGTTGTGGCTGGATTTCTCAGCCTTCTATTATGTTCATAGGAATCCTGTACCAACTCGGTGTAATTAATGAAGCGATTGTGATTTTTCTCCCTCAAGTACTTCCCACAGAACTTGTTCATCGGAAGTCGGCGTCGCTTTTCCTGTAACCATCTTCCGGGAGCATCTAGGTGCTTCATTAGCAACTTCTCTGCTAGTACAAGATCCTGCAAAATATATGGAACATACAGTTATAGTAAACCTATTGATCATTGATGCCAAGATTTGATTTTGTTGAACTAGCTCATCTAGTTGCTTAAGCTGTTAGGAAGGGAATACATTTGATTATTTTTAGTCTTCAACACGCCCAATCGCGTGCAGGTTGAAATATAACATTTTTATAGCTAAAAGACAAGCTAAGATGCATAATTGAGAAGGTTATTACCTGGATCTTTTGAACAACATATTCCAGTTTCTCGAAGCAAAACTGTGGATGCTCAAATTTGTACTTGGATGGATGCAAGAAACAGAGCTGTATTTTGTAAAGAAGAGGAAAATTTCATTAGGAAGATGCTAATTCACATTCAATCAAAGTTATAGCCTGGCAAAAAAGAACATATTTCACAATAACAGTAGACGCATGGTTGTGCAGAAAGTTATGTAGGCCCTTGAGCTTTTACGAGTACGCATATAGAAATTGCTATATCTAAGGGTGTGGAGAAAGCTGCAAGAAGAAGGACAACATAGATCGTACTTATATGCCAAGTCCAAGTTCTATGTTCCTAGCTTCAGTGGTCTCAGGGATCCTATCTGCCATTGCCAAGGGATATCCAAGTGTTTTCATGACTTGTGGTCTACAATCATAATTCCATATATTCCCAAGGAACCCATGCATACCAGGTGGAGCACATGCCCTGAAAAGCCTCGGGTGTGCAAAAAGAGCATCTTCTGGAGGCTGTGAATGGGGATTTATCAATGAGTAGATAATCCATCTTCAAGAGAAAAATATATGTCCCTTATGCTAAGCTATTACCAACATAAGAAACACCTTATTTTAGAAGAAGCTGAAAGTTTAGAGAAGGTCTTAATATATATTAATCTCAATTTGGAAATATTCCACCTCAGATGGATAGTCACATTCAAACAACAATATACTAGTGTGTCCAGGCTTCATTTACATTTTGGTCTTCTAGTTACCATCACTTTAAGCTATGCTTACTGTCAGTCAATTTAGACTGGCATTGAGAATGGGTCAATACAACCTTGACTTAGTATATTAGGATTTTAGTTGTTTAAACTATGACTACCTATCCGATATAGAACAACTCCAAATCGCCAAAGATCCCAAACATTTTTCAGTAATCTAACCATTACCATCTGATTGGGGAGTACTATTATTTATTCCACCAAAATTTAGCAGCACAGGATGTTCAAAAACAATCTTGTCCAGCTAACTTTTGCCCAAATACTTCAGCTAATTTCGCTGATTCCTTTGAATTTCTTCATTTTTTACTTTCACACAAATTTTGCTCTTACATTGCTTTCACACAAATTTTGCTCTTTCTTACATTGCTTTCGTAGCCCATCCAAGTGATGTGTGTGTAACAAGGGCCTATCAATTAGTTAAACTCAAAAAAGAAAAAACTGTTAGAGTCACTGCAAGGATTTCACAGTATAAAATATGGCTTTGGACAAAATTCAAGGTACTACTTTGCTTCAGAAAAGATGGAAATGAAAGAACAGAACGCCCTTTCAAAAGAAACCCCAGGATAAAGCTTCCACATAATATTTCTCTAATTGTAAGACTAAAGTAAAAATAATATCGTCAAACTGAAAAATGAATTAGTGCTTACCCTTTAAGCAGCAACATCTTGCCAGCTCAGCTTTCTACTTTCAAATTCTACAGACACATAGTCTACATCTTCAAGCTGTCTACTCAGTTTAGGTTGGCAGTCTTCAGCCTCAGGGTTCATTCCAAACACTTTAAAAAGAACACGATATACTTCTGGCATGCCAAAACACAAATATATTGCCCCAAACAAGGCCCAAAATACAGATCTGCCAGGATAAAATTCGTAGCATTATCAATATGTAAGTAACTTTTCCATGACTAACTACATCAAATAACATCACTAGATTAAATTGAAATGAACTCTGCAAAGCACGCAATGCCAGCCAAGTTGTAGGTTCACCTCAGAAATTGATAAATATTCAAATTTATTTATGGAACTTGGACATAAGGACTGCAGCTCAAGAATGCACATTATATTATTTGCAGTTTCAATCCAACTGCCTAACTCAATAAACAATATAAAATAAAAAGAATTGCAGGAAGATGCATATATTATCCTCACGTGTGATTTCAATTACGAAAGAAGCATTATAACCCTTCTTCAAAAGCATATTACGCACCCATTTTTTCTGAGATATGGTATATAACAAATATTATGCCATGCTGTCATATGCATAGTAATAATTCCACGGTTCACATTTTCGAATAGCACTATTGAATGTGAATGCAATTAGCAAAATTTTATTCATCCTAAAGCAACCAAATTATTATTTATCTGCTGCACAACAATCTGTTACATGATCTTCACGAACTCAGCATGTAATCATTTGACAGAGCTAATCTTGCATATCAGGACAGCAAAAGTAACATGATAGATATCCCAGCAAGTAAGCACTTCCATCCACACTCCAAAATATTCACAAAGGATGAGGCAGAGAATACATACGCAAAGAACTAATTTCTTACTTTAATAGTCTCAAGCCACACCATTATAAAATTCCCATCAATCCAGTTAGTTTACCTGAGTTGATTTCGTTCATTAAAACCCATAAATCAACCTTCTACTCTTTTCCCATAATCCTTGCAGCATGGGTTCTTCACTCTTCAGTTCATGTGATAAATTTTAGTGTAGCAAGAAGCTGATGATATTCAGTCCTTCAACATAATTGGTTAATTCATAAGTTGGAACATGACTCTTATTAAGGGTTGTGAGTCTTGGAAATAGGTGTTAGAAAAGGGTACACTGGACACATTGTATGTACTAGGGATTAATTTACAAATTTTAGGTGTGGTGAATATTTAGAAGTATAGCATAGGTTCTCAGAGTTCTTGATAATTGGAAACGTACCAACTTCATCCCTTTACAAGGAAAGAAACGTGTACACATTACATAAATTCTTGAATCTTCAACGAGGGCAAGGAATACTTCGTATGTCCAGCTCCAACAATATAAGAGTGGACTTATTTTAACACAATGAAGCCTATCCTGTGATGTGCCACTTATTATGTATACTTTACAGCATGCTCTCACCGTCGTTCTTGATCAGGTGTGACATGTAATTATGTGCAGTCATACATCTAATATGTAGATTTTTCCAAGTATTTCTTATATTCTTTTGTACAATGCATAGAATAGCATAAAGTAACTAAAAAAATTTAAGAATAGGAAGGTTGAAAACTATGTCTATTAATTCAATAATTATCAAAACCTATGTCCATTAATTCAATAATTATCAAAACCCCAAAAAATAAAGACCATCACTTACTTCATCCTTTCTAATTAACTTATCCATATCATCGTATGAGAAAATCAAATTCTGCAAGCTAGCAGCTTTTATCCACTTGGGCAGAAACTTTTTCCCTATCAAAGCATACAATCTCTTCCTCATTGGCCCCGGTGACTCCCTAGGATACCTCTGCAAGAAAAACTCACACAATGCCATCTCGAGCACATACTGCCCCAAGAACCACAACCTGGAATGCCCCGACCTCACATGGCGAGCGTTAGTCCTCTAGCAGTGGGGATGCCGAAACGCTAGATACAACAATATGCCAAACTGCTTAGCCGGATTATCATCTCCATAATTCTCAGAAGGCTCTAAAGGGTAACCTAAAGCCTGCTTGGCTTCAAGCAAGTACCCGTCCATTCACGTTTTATCTGCATTGTTTCACCGGGAAGAAGGCAAGCAAGAACTCAACAAAGGGAAGGATTTTAGTGGTATTTGCGGGCTGTTGAGGAATCTTTCAGCCAGTTTCGCATCATCAAGTGGGAGCTTGAAAATGAATCTCCTCGGGGGCGGATTTTTCTTGGGCGAGACTATTTT